TTTAAAATTTCATTTATTGCATTTTTCAGTTCTAAAATTGTCATTTATTTCTTCTTTTTTTCTTTTTTATTATTGTTATTTGGCAGCTGGCCAATATGGGGATCGAACTCTAACCTTCATGTTAGCAGCACTACACTTTAACCAACTGAGCTAACAGACAGTCCAATTTCTTTATGTCTCCTATTCCTTTGCTGAGATTTTTTTTTTCATTTATTTCAAGCATGTTTTAATTGCTCATTAAAGTATTTTTTTCTGATGGCTGCTTTCAAATCTTTGTCAGTTAATTTTAACTTGTTTGTCATCTTGGTGTTGGTATCTATTGATGGTCTTTTTTCATTCAGCTTGAAATCTTCCTGGTTTTTGGTATGATGAGTGGTTTTTGATTGCAATCTAGATGTTTAGGTTTTATGACACTCTGGATATTTAAACCTTCTATTTTAACTGTTTTTTCCTGACACTGCTCTGGCAGGGGCATGGAAGGGGACATGGACTTGAAAATGCCAGATGGTAGTATAGTTCTAGGTTCCCTATTCCCCCTCTGATGACACTGGGAGGGGGAGAGGGAGAGCTCCTCATTATTGCCAGGCAAGGGTGGGAGTTTCAGCTCCCCACTAGGCTTCCAGTGATACCTCCCTAACTGGGAGGGATTAAAACACCCTGTCTCTGCTCCCCATATGGCCTCCACTCACCATGGGATGGAAGAGGCAGACTCCTCACAGCTGGGCAATGGTGAAGTCCTAACCTTCCACTAGGCCTCCTCTGATACCACCTAAACAGAGAATGGGGAGGGTACCTCATTACTGTAAGGTAGGAGTGGAAGTCCAGGCTCCCCATGTGGTTTCCTCTGACACCAAGGGTATGGGGAGGTCTCTGTGGGGAGGAGTACTTGTACAGTGTTGAGGATGAAAGTTCCAGCTCTCTACTTGGTTTTCTCTGACACCACCTCAGAGGGGCTGAGGAGTAGGGTTTTTGTTTGTTTGTTTTTTTGTCTTTTTTCGTGACCGGTAAGGGGATCGCAACCCTTGGCTTGGTGTCGCCTGCACCGCGCTCAGCCAGTGAGTGCACCAGCCAGTCCTATATAGGATTCAAACCCATGGCGGGAGCGTCCCAGCACCGCACACTCCCGAGTGTGCCACGGGACCGGCCCAGGAGTAGGGGTTTGAGGTGTTAGGATGTTGGGGTGCTTCATCACAGCCTGGAGGTGTAGAAGTCTAGGCTCCCCATTCGTCCTTTGCTTTCTGGGGATGGGGCCACAGAGTGAGTGAGTGTGTGTGTGTGTTGTTTGACTACAGTAGAATAGTTATCTTCTAAATATTTTCTGTCTTGGTAGGCCCCTTTTTCATCCTTTGGCTAGAGAGAGTAGCATTTTTGGCGGGAATTTTTTGTCTATGCCTCTTAGCATTTTCAGGTTTCTGGTTTTAGGCTTCTCCGACACCCAGTTTGAGATACATAAGGCTAAATGAAAACCCGAGGAACTTACCACTGTGCTCCTCTTTGGGTCTTGAAGTCCCTGGCCAGTATGACTTCTCTCTACCTTTCAGTGTCTTATGTTTGTCTTATCTATAATGTTCCAAGTTTTTAGTTGTACTCAGTGGGAGGAATAGGGAAAAAATACTTCTACTCCATCTTCCTGAAAACAGAAATCAAGGACCACTATAATGCATTAAAACACAATTTCAGACAAAAATGCGTGGGAAAGAATTAGGGAGAAGTTGCAGTGTCTTTCAAACAAAGGTATCAGGAGGGCAATCAAATAAAGAAAGCCAGCCATAGGCAGTAACTGCCTTTGCAAATACAATAATATCTGTGAGTATCTTCAAATTACTTTAAAAAAATCATAATGCTTATGAGAAACCTTCTGTGAAAATTCCTCAATTTATGAATCAATATAGGGTTTCTAGGAGGAAACATTCGTCTACATGATGTAGGGATATGGAGAAATTGTGACTTATCCCCTGGTCATGGTTGAGCAAAAAGAATCAAACTTTCTTTTTTTTTTTTTTTCCTTTTTGTCTTTTTTCGTGACCGGCAACGGATCGCAACCCTCAGTGTCGCGCCCGTACTGGACCGGGACCGGCTACGGGATCGCAACCCTCGGTGTTGCACCCGCACCTTGCTCAGCCAGGGAGCGGCCGGGCTGTATGTGGGATCTGAACCCTCGGCGGGAGCGCCACTGCACTTCCCAAGCGGCGCACTGTAGCAGTGCGCCACCGGGCCGGCCCAGAATCAAACTTTCAATACCACTGCCTGTTCAAAGCCATCATCATCAGTCTAGGAAAAAAAAAAAAAAGCAAATCAAAAAACCCTCATGCCCAACTTTAGCTCTGCCTGCTCTTTCTGAGTCCCTTTCCCTTTTCTCTTCTTCTAGTCCTAGGAAAATGCTGTTCGCAGGAGGCAGCCTTTTGTAAAGAAATACTCATTTTCAAGAAAAGAGCCCTATAAACAACCTAGAGAAAGAAAAACAGTAGCTCTTAATAAAAATGACAAATGCAATATGATTGGATATAAAATCTCAAGAGGACTGGGATATAAACTCTAGGAGCTGGGGAGATCAATTGACTTGTCCTGTATTGTAAATAGCTCTGCTGTGTAGGTTGACATTGCTGAAAGGCAAACTGCACTTTAACAGTTAATTATAGAAAGCAGGGTTACATTTATTGGTTGCAGGTCTATTCCTGCTAAAACCTAAAGAAATCAGATAAAGAGGAACAGGTAGAAAATGTTTCAGAAAACCAATTAACAGTCCTGTTAGGGGTGGGGACCCAAATCTAGGAAACTGCCCAATAGCTAAAATGAGTTTTTTCTACCTTCCTCCCTCCCTTTCCTTCCTTCTTTTTGGTTGGTGTGTGATGGAGGGTTGGGATGGAGAGACAGCCAAAGAAGGGAATTGTTTTTCTACCAGTTACAAATAGGGACCTTGCTCTCTACCAGTTCCAGGAAACATTGCTAGCATGCCCAGAACCATCAAAGAGCCTGCTTGGAAATGATCCAACTCCTTTTCTTTCCTTTTAGCAGTTTCCAACTCCATGGGTAACTGGGCAGAAGGGAAAAAAAGGTCAAAGTCAAATCCGTTGATTCTGTTACTTAAAGGGATGGATGAGCACAACTATAGGTGCTGTAGGTTGAAAGTCTCCTCAAAACTCATTGAACTCGACCCCACAAAGAAGGTGAAAAATCTGAATATGCTATTTGAAAGGTGGGTCCTGTAAGAAGTGATTAGATTGTGAGGACTGTGCTGTCACAAATGGATGGATCCATTCATGGAGGAATGGCCATGGTTCTGACAGCTTTATAAAGAGGGCAAGTAAGAAGGTTAGCTCTCTTGCCTTAGCACATTCTCACCAGGTGACACCCTGGTTGTCACAGGATCCTGTAGAGAGTTTCCACTCAGGAGAATGCCCTCACCAGAAGTGTTACCTAGACTTTGGACTGCCCAGCCTGCAAAACTGTAAGAAATAAACCTCTTTTCCTCATACGTTACCCAGTCTCAGGTATTCTGTTATAAGCAACAAACAGACTGATACACTTAGGAAAATGAATAAATAAAACAAATTTGGAAGAGGGGTGGAAGGCACCCTAGGGTTCCTATTGCCCCAGTCACTGTTTACTCTCTCCAAAGGCTGCAAGTGTTGCTTTGGTGTGCTCATGGCTCCCAACCCTTTGGTGGACTTAGTGGAGATGGGAAGTCCTGAAATTATCCCCAAGGGGTTCAGAGATCCAGATATGTACACCAAGCACAGAGAGAAGAATGAAGAAATAAGATATTTGTCTCTCTAACACACATGCATACATATACACTACTTTCTGGAATTTAACTTACCTTTAGTTTTTGCTTATGAAATGAATGCAGGCTGTAGAATTTTCAAATATTAGAGAAATGTCTTAGGAAATACAACTTCCTAGTAATTCTACTCTTCAAAAAGAACAAGTTTTCAACTTGTTTTCTTACGATTTTTCAAAGGTATTGAGAAACTATTGGGTTAAATATAATCAAATGAATTTATTTATTTATTTATTTATTTTAAAAGATGACCGGTAAGAGGATCTCAACCCTTGGCTGGGTGTTGTCAACACCACGCTCAGCTAGTGAGCCAACCGGCCATCCCTATATAGGATCCGAACCCATGGCCTTGGTGTTATCAGCACCGCACTCTCCCGACTGAGCCACGGGCCGGCCCATAATCAAATGAATTTAAAAGTTATTACACATATGGTAGATTTCTGTAATTGTTTTCAACGAACAGACACTAAGAATACAAATGCCAAAGTTAGGAAATCCACGTATTATTGAAGTCAAAAGTTGAAAGTTTGCAAATTTCTACTCTTGCCTAAAAAACTGGAGCAGTTCCTGAGAGTCAGTCTTCTGCCTGCAAGAAGGAAACACGTGGTTACAGCCCTCGGAAGGGGTGGTTCTGGGCGGCAGGTGCTGCAGGGAGGCAGGCAGTAGTGAGCAACAGCCACCGCCTCCCACACATTCTCCGCATTTTAGTAAACAAGGAGACTCTAGAGCTGTAAACGAAAAGGGAGTTTGGGGGAGGGCCCAGGGTATCTGATATAGAGGTTCCGAAAGTCCTCCTATTGGTGCGTTGCAAAGCCTCGAAAGACTTGGAATTCTGATTGGTCTGCTGCCCTGTCCGTAAGGTGATTGACGAGCCCTGTCCTGCAGAGCCGCGCCTCTCGGCGCTGCGCTCCTCCCCTCGCGGTGGGTGCCCGCCCCCAAGTGGCGAGAGCGCGTGCGCGCGCGGCCCCACGCCACGGCCGAGTTTCCCTGCCCCGTTACGTGCACTCGCAGTCAGTGGACTAGCCGGGAGGCGGCGGAGGTCACCGCGGGGAGGCGGGGCGGGGGCAGCATGGCAGCCTCCTTACGGCTCCGAGGAGCCGCCTCCGGCCT